GTTTCTCGGGCCAGAAGCTCCACTCAGCGTTCCAAGTTAGGTCTGTACATTTGCCCAAAGGGAGCAAAGAGGAATGACAGAGAAAAAGCAAGAAAGGCATTAGGTATTCAGCAAAGGCTGGCAGATCTCTATGAATTCAGTCTGGTCTGTGCTGCTATTTCTAAGCCAGCCGGTGTTACCTAAGGAGATCCTGTCTCCCAGTGCGGGAGGGGCAATGAAAGGCTAATAATCACTGTGGCCACATTAAGAAAATAGAGATCAAGTTTTGAAGCCCATTTCCAGGGAACTGACATGAACTTTTAGGTTGTAAGTAGGGGAAGATTTGAGGCAGGGGTCAGTTACTAACAATTAAGTCTTGGTCATACCACATTATGGCCAGTTATTTCAATCCTTGAGGGGACAATCTGCTTCCCATGAGATGACTGCTCCACTGTGATGGTGTGGGAATTGGGGACAGCTTCATGGGTGATCTTATTTTGGAGTTATCTGTTTGTGGACTGTTCCTGGACTCTAAGCTGATGGTTGGAGACTTCCAGGTGCCTTTTCCCAGGTCTGGAATAGGTCTCTGTAAAATCTGACAGTAAAATACTGTAGTTACTTTCTGTGCCTTAAATATTGAAGAGGGAACAGATAGACTAGATGAACATAGGGCTAGTCAACCTCGTATCTCCTGTCTTTAGGTAAAACACACATTGAGTAATTAAACTTAGGGTCTGAGGCATGCTACACTACCATTCAATTAGTATCTCAATTTAAATTAAAAATAAAAGTAAATTTAAAATGTCTTGGTGCCGGGCGGTGGTGGCACACACCTTTAATCCCAGCACTGGGAGGCAGAGGCAGGTGGATTTCTGAGTTCGAGGCCAGTCTGGTCTACCAAGTGAGTTCCAGGACAGCCAGGACTACACAGAGAAACCCTGTCTCGAAAAACAAAAAACAAAAAAACAAAAAACAAAAAAAAAACAAAAAAAAAGCTTACACATTGATCTTAAAGTTGGGGGTTGAGGGAGGGGAAAAGAGAAAGGGGAAGGGGAGGGAGAGAGGGAGAAAGGGAGAGAGATGGGAGATGGCACAAATGTCTTGAAACCTCAATGTCCACCCCCAGTTACATACCTTCTCCAATCCTCCAATAAGATTACACCTCTTAATCCTTCGCAAACAGCTGTACTAACTGGGGACCAAGTATTCAAATCTATGAGTCTATGGAGGTGGGGTGTTATTCTCATTCAGACTGGCTACACAGAGAGTTAATAGCCAGCCTGGATGCATAGGAAGAGCCTATCTCAAAACAGCAACAAAATGATGAAACCCAAGTGACCTAGATATTAACACTTCAATTATCAGCCGATGAAGAGAGATTCGAGCAAGCCTTCCCCGAGGAAGGGGCACATTAAAAGAGAAAAGGCTAGCAGGGATAATTGGCACAGAGATCACAGGAAGTGTCTCAAGTGGTGGGACGCCACTTTGGAAAGTACGTGAGAGACAAGAAGAGCCAGTGCCGCCGGAGCCAAAGGAAACAAGGTCTTAAGATGAAGCTGGACCAGAAGGAATGAAGTTGTCCTGGGTCTGGCAGACTTTGTAAGGATCTGAAACTCACAGGTAGGTACACGGAGCAAACAGGCCAGCAGAGAGAGTCAGGACAGGTCTGGGTTTTAACAAAGCTCTCTGCTAACCTAGTGTTAACACATTGTGTGGAGGCCACATGTTCTGTAGTCTCCATGACAATTCATCCTTACTGGGACTACGAAACACTACATTTGTGTTTCTCAGACTCTGTGTTGAGAGTCGCTTGAGGACTGTGAAATCGAATTAGGGAATTTCCAGAAATGCTTTTATATTTTATTTTTATTTATTTTATTTATTTAATTATGGGGGCAAGGTGTCCCATGATGGAGGTCCCATGTGTGGTGGTCAGAAGACAACTTATGGCAGTTGATTTTTTTCCTTCTTCCACGTATATCTCACTTAAGATTGAACTGAGATTATTTTGATTGTATATGTTTGGCCCAGGAAGTGGCACTATTAGAAGGTGTGGCCTTGTTGGAATGGGTGTGTCACTGTAGGCGTAGGCTTTGAGACCCTCATCCTAGCTGCCTGGAAGTCAGTATTTTCCTAACAGCCTTCAAATGAAGATGTAGAACTCTCAGCTCCTCCTAGACCATGCCTGTCTGCATTCTGCCATGTTCCTGTCTTGATGATAATGGGACTGAACCTATGAACCTGTAAGCCAGCCCTAAGTAAATGTTGTCCTTATAAGAGTTGCCTTGGTCATAGTGTCTGTTCACAGCAGTAAAATCCTAACTATGACAGTTTTCAAGCTTGGTTGGTTCTTATTCAAAATCCACATAGGTTTAAAATAAAAATAATTAAAAAGGCATTGTATAAAATTCTCAAAGAATTAATAAAAATACATTAGAAAAAAAGAGTAGTAAATGGCCATGAAAGAGCTGAATCTTAGCAAAGACAAGAAAAAAACAAAACAAAAACTAGACACTTTCAGCCAAACTAAGCAAAAGAAAGAGGTGACTGAAATTATTTGACAGTGGAGATAAAACCAGGATACCATGTGGTTCTAGTGAAACTCAGGGGAACATCAGTGACCAAAGTTACATCAGGAGGGTGTACATAGTTTAAGATGACCCATAACAGGCAATGGCATAGAAACATAACAGTCTCTGGAGTACACTAACCTCCAAACTAGAGGAACTCACTCGATCACTCTATCAGATACTAAAAATTAACACCAATCCATCTCAAAAGTTTCCATAAAATAGGTGGCTGGAGAGATATCTCCGCGGTTAATAGCAAATAGAGCTCTTCCGTAAGGCCCGGGTTCTATTCTCAGCATGCATATGTAGATGGCCAATGGTCTGTAACTCCAGTTCAAGGGGCTATAGTGCCCTCTTCTGCCCTCCAGAATCACCAGGCTGCCCTCTGTAAGCACTAGGCATGCACATGGTACACTTTCATTCATGCAGGCCAAACACTCATAAGCATAAATATAATAAATCCAAGAAAAAAATTTCCCCATGAAATAGAACCCGAAAGGACACTTCCAAATTCATCTTGTAAAACTAACTTCATCCTGATACCAAATACTTGGTAAGAACACGACAACCAACCAACCAAATCCAAAAACAAACTAAAAAAAAAAACAAAAACAAAAACAAACAAACAAAAAACCTATCATGCAGAAATTCCCCAGAAATGCACATAGTTCAACATCATATACAGTCCAACATGCAAGTCAACAAATGTGATACAACACAGAAAGATTCAGGGAGAGAAATCTTATGGTCATTTCAATACATACAGGAAAGGCCTTTGACAAAAGTTTAATATTCATTTATGATAAAAGCCCTGAAGAGAGTTGTTAGTATTTTGTCTAAACTCCACCCCCACAGTTACCTGGCAACAGCTGGGTAGACCTGCCAGCTATAAAAGGGGCTGCTTGCCCCTTCCTCGCTCTCTTGCTCCGTTGATCCTTCGCCTGTAGGGTCTCTGCCCCCTCTCCCTTCC